CTTGCAGGGCTGTACCCTAAAGGGAGGCTGGACAGTGGAAAATCATTAAAGTTAATTATTAAGTTAGCCAGCAGTGCTTCTAAGGGAAATTGAAATAACTGGTTTTAACTTGATAATTTATTCAATTATTTTTAGCATAAAATATCACAGTGTTTAAGAAAAGTAGTCAAGAGACCAAAATAAAAGGGTGTTTCAGGAGTTATGATTTTCTGCCAAGGAGTAAGGCAAGCAGAGTTTCCCTCAGTCTCAAAGATATACACACACAAATGTAAAGCATTTATGACAGGACAGAGGTACAAGGCACACATGACAATACACACAGTTCTCTCAGCCAGGTGAGAGTTGTGATCTTACATCACTGCTACCTGGCACAGCAGCCAAGTCATGCTTGTCACTATCCCAGGGGAAGAGGCTGGGCTGTACAACTCACACAGGGACTCTTCCCCTCCCAGCCATCCCCACAGGCACCGTCTGCCATCCCCAGCCAGGCCAGCATGGCAGGGCACTGAGTAACCCAGGCTGCACTTCCCTAAACAGTTCCAGCCTACACTGACACCAGCAAGGAAAGGTGCATGGCCTCTCCTGGCCTCCAGCAGATTGTTCCCACCCATACACTTCCCACTCCTGCAGCACAACATCAACAGAACCATCAAGGCTCAGCTGTACCCTGCATGTGATGAGGAAGCCAGTCTGAGCTGACTACACCAGCAAAAAGAAACAAAACCCACACAAAAACATCCCCTAACCCAGCTTCTTCTCAAACACCCAGGAGGACAGGAAGGGGCACCTGGGATGACCCCGAGTGGCAGTGCCAGCTGAAAGCACCTTGCTCGTGTCAGTTCCTTCAGGCTGCCTTTATAAATATTCAGAGAAGAGCCAGAGGCACTGCAGGACACAGAGCAGGAGGTGCCTCCGTGTCTCCCGGAGCTGCAGGGCAGTGTGGGACACAGCCCAGCCAACTCCATACCAACGTCTGGACACGGAGACTCTCCTTGCCCACGGGCATTCTGAAGGCATGGGCAACATATCTGGCACTAATTCAAAAAACTAATGGCATAAAAAAAATCCTGTAGGAGAGATTAAGTAGTTGACAAAGGAAAAACTAAGCAGACATATGTAGGAATACTAGGAATGAACTTACAGTCCTTTTAAGGATGTACTGCAAAACAAGATTTATCAGAGATTGTTCTAAATATTTTGG